CATTTATTTCAGGAGGTAGCAGTGGAGCAGGAGCCTCGGGCAAGAGGCCCGCAGAGTGAGCGGTGGAGCGCTTCTTATTTTGCATTTTGTTGGCCGTGTGGCCTAGGCTAGACTTAGGGCATGAACATGTCATTTGTATTTATTAGTAGCTTCATTAGCATCTTGTTCATGCCATTTTGCCTAAGTCTAGTAGTGATGTATTTGGTTATGTTGTCTTTTAATTAAGTCGAAATTTTAGAAGAATGTAATTTGAAGTTTTAGTTTCAAGTTGTAATTTGTAAAGCCATATTGTAATAGTATTGATGCATGTCTAATTATGATGGAAGGGCCTTAGGCCTATTTTAGGTTATGATAATATGTATGATGGAAATATGCATGAAAAAGGTGTTAGTGATTGCAACTACTTAAGAATGATTAATATGGACTCTATGTTTAATAACTATAAACTGGATTGGGTTGTAAGTGCCCCAAGGCGTTGTTGGTCCTTGTGTGTGCCACCCATTGGATTATTACTGTATTATCATGTGTTTATTAGGTACATTGAGGTTTTAAATGATCTTTTACAAATTTGGGATTATTGGAAAAACAAAGGAAACTCTGGCGAATTTTCTGTAGAATTGGCAGATTTTAGGCGAACTTTGGGAGAGCATATCTCCCTCCATAGAAGTCCCCTAGGGACGTGCTATACGCCATTTTGAAGGTTGAGATGTCCTCTAACTTGTGTCAAAATTTGAGGAAATTCTGGGTTGATCTTCGGCCTGAAAAAAATAGATAAACACGGACTGCCCATGTGCCCCTGCACCTGAGGCAGATTCTGGACCGGATTTGGGAAATTAATTCCCGCTTCGTTTCTCCGTCAAATTAAGCGTGTGATATATCAAAATGAAGTTTGAGATGTCTAGTTTGTAGGATAAAAATTTGAGAGCAAATGGTCGAGTAGATTGAGTGCAGTAATTCGGGAAAAGTGAGTGGTTTGGGCTGTTTTTGGGGTTGTTTGGGCTAATTGCTTATCCAACTTCAAACGGCGATAACCGGAGCAAATGAGCTCCGAATTGAGCGTATTTTAGCTTGTTAAAAAGAGAATTAAGTAACACAAAGATATAATCTGAGAAGTAGGGTTGGTTGCGATCTGTTTGGTCGCAGAAAAGCTTAGAGTGTAACATTTTCGAATTGGTGTAAAACGTAAAGTTGGAAATTGGCTAAGTGAGTTTATGGGAACTCCTTAGTAACTTATAATAAGTAACGTAAGTGATAAAAATAGTTTAAATAAGTCTTCCGCAAGAGTTTATGGTTACGGTCACAGCTTTTAATTATTACGCCTTTTTATGTTTTAAATGCTCGCGTAATAATCGAAAAAAATTTATTCGCGTTTCATAAATGAACTGCTGTGATTGTAACTGCGCTTAATATCATAATTAATGTTAACAATACCGGTACGTAACGGGCTGTTACACTTAGGCAAAATGACATGAACAAATATGACTCTGAAACTCATCCTATATACATATGGGATGTTCATGCCCTAAGTCTAGCCTAGGCCAAATGGCCATCAAATGCAAAAAGTGAAAAGATCCTCCAACACTCATCCTACGGGCTTCTTGCCCGCCGCTCCACTGCCACTGCTACCTCCTGAAATAAAGCTCCCAAAACGGGGTGAGATATATGAATATATCTCAGTAACCCAGAGGTTCTGGAGAAAACTCCGTTCAATGGCTCACTTCGATGCATATAAATAATATAAAACAACCACTTTCAAAACGGGATATAGCAAGGGATTTAGAGAAACTGGAGAATATCGGGATATAAAATACGACGAAGCTGGAATGGTAGCTACCAATACCACACAACGTCCTCAGCATATAAGCCTATAGGTCTCATCCAAGGCGTGTTCCTAGAACATCAACCAAGGTACCCCTCCCATCCATATACACCCGAGACATTCCTATTGTGCTCCTATCCGGATCACACACCACGACCCTAGGTCAACTAGAACTCTCTCTCAGAGACCTATCCAGTGGAAGTCCGCACTGCCCGAAGGCTAACTGTCTACTGGCCAGAGACTCGGTACATAAGTACCCTCATAAATACTACATGCATGCTCATGCTGTTGTACACTACTCATATAAATTTCCTACCAATACCATCAACTGGCATGGTGGAACACACAAGGGGAACAAGCCCTAGTACCAAAAGGCTACCTTAATATGTTCCTCCACTTAGCTCCACAGCAGCTTATTTCCAAACTCGTTATTCAACAGAATGCCTACATAGAGGACATTCCCAATTACTCCAAAAACTCATACAACACATGCCAATTTACAATTACACATGCATTGATTCAACCACTTACCTCAATCCACTTGGTCCAGGACCAATGGCAATCCACCGATTCACGGTTCGGGGTTCAAATCGACGTACGGCAACCTACAATACCCATGTACGAATCGTCAGTACACGACAATTCTATCAAAACGCGAAAAACGTCAAAATCACCCCTTCCCGTTTAAGGTTCGGCCAAACAAGGCTAAATTTCAAATTTATTTTTCTAAATTTTCTTTCCCATTTTATTACACATCCTTAGGTTGCCAAAAGGCTGATTCAAGTGCCATTTTTTCGTTTTACGTCTTTTAAGCACCGTTTTGCTTAATAATTCACTCTAGGTTCCTTTATGACCCTAAATACCATTTATTATTTTTCATTTATTCTACCACTTTCCAACCACCACACAACCTATTTAAATACCATTCAACACTTGAAACATCATCAAATCAATACAAACCACATCAATTTCCTAAAACTCTCTATATGGCCGAATGGCCAAATTGGAACCTCCAAGGAATTCTCACTCAATTTTAATCATTCCACACCTCATACAATCTCACTATATCCACATATCATCATCCAACAACTCACCAATAACATCTTAACACATTTTCCAAAATCCAAGTCATGACACCTCAAAATATTCTAAGTTAAAAATTCATATTTTCCACCTAAAATTTTCATTGCGTTTATAGCTAATACATATTATTCTAAGACACTTTCATGTACAAACTTTTTCCAATTGAGCTCTCTAACATCACACATCAACAATGCAAGGTTTAGGGTTCATAATTATAAACTACAATCAAACCATGGAAATGAGGTGGAAACATACTCACAACCAAGACTTGATACTCCTCAAAGACTTATCCAAGCATTGGAAGACCAGATGACTCCATGAACCTCAATTTTCTCCAAAAATTCGAATCTTAAAATGGCTTGGATCTCCCCAAAGAAACGGTTTCAAAGCTCAAGAGTGGTACTATAACACCCCGCAATTCTAAATTAAGTATTAAATTATTAAGTGAGTAATTAAGTGAAGGATTAGTGAAAATCCTAAGATTTAAGCCAAAATACAAAGAAAGGGTAAAACAGTAATTAGCCAACACGCAGCCCTAGAAAGATAAAAATTGATTAGAAGGTCTCAGATGATAGAAATAACCTTGGAAATGGATTCAGAACGAAAAATTGAGTGGACAGGCAAGTTTCAGAAAAATCAGTGAATAATGTTTTTCGCGGGTAAAAATACTGCAGTACAATTGCACCGTAAAATGTGCCGATTGAGTTTTGAGCTATAGGTTTCAAATATGAGTTATAAATGGTCTATAGAACTAGGAAATATGATTTCTCATAAAAAATGATGTAAATAAGTTAGTTTGGGGAAGCGTGCCAACGACGCGCGCAACAACTTAAAACAGTGTTTTCTCCGAAAGATCGAAAAACTCCGGATTCATCTGGTCAAGTATAATTAAAGGACAATGGTTAATGTTAAAAATTAGAGTTTCTAAATAGGTTTTGAATTTATGGACGTTTAGTGGAATCAGAGGGAAATTCAAATGAGTTTGAAATCGCGTGAGGTGACGGTGGGCCCCACCCCACTTAAGTGAACCTTGCCACATGGCAAAGCCACCTTTACATCATCATCTTCCTCCCTCCTTCTTCTCCAAACCCGCAGCCCTTCATCATTGTGCAAAAAAATGGCTTTGGAAATTTCAATTCACCATAACTACACCATTTCTCCACCAAATCAAGTGATTCTTGTCTTGAAATTTGATGGAAATCACCTTCTAAACACATTGGCACTAGTGGCAAGCCTTGAATCCAGCTATATTTTTCAAAAATCCCTCCTCAAGGCCGCGGCTCATAGTTGGAGATTTGTGTTCATGGAGCTTCTAAGTGCTCCAATGGTAGAGTATGTTTAGGAGGAGCCTTGTACCTTCCATTTGGGTGAGTGTTCTTGCATTTTAATTGATTGAATGTGATGATTTGAATTTTGAACCCTAGACCTTGCATGGTTGATATGTGATGTTAGAGAGCTCAATTGGAAAATGTGTATTAGATGATAATGCCTTAGAATGATGTATTAAAGCTAGAAATGTAATGAAAATTTTAAGTGAAAATTGATGATTTTTAACTTAGTGGATTTTGAGGTCATGACTTTGGACTTTTGAGTTTTGTGTTGAGGCTTTGTTTGGTGAATTGTGGTATGATTATATGATGATATAATGGATTGTGTGAGGGTTGGAGTGATTAAATTTGAGTGGAAATCCTTGGAATGCTCTAGGTCACAACTTGGCCTTTAAAGGAAAAATTAAGGAATTGATGTTGTTGGAAATTGTTGAGTGATGAATTATGTGTTAAAAGGTAATTAGATGGGTTGTGTGGTGGTTGGCAAGTGGAAGAATCAAGGTGAAATAATAAGTTGTGTAATTGACATAAAAGAACCTTGAGGGAAATATTTAGCAAAACGATGCGTAAAAGTCGTAAAACGGAAAAAACGGCGATTGAACTAGCCTCTTAGCAACCTAAGGAAGCATAATAAAATGAGAAAGAAAATTTAGAAAAATAAATCCTAAATAACACTACAATGGCCGAACCATCATGGTGATGGGAAGGATTTTTGTGTTTTTTTCGCGTTTTGACGTAAATTGACGTATACTGACGGCTGTACAGGTTGCCGTACGTCGACTTGAATCCTGAACAGTAAACCAGTGGATTGCTCTTGGTCCTAGACCAACTAGATTGAGGTAAGTGACTGAGTCTATGCATGTTTAATTGTAAATTAGCATGTATTGTTTGAAATTTTAAGTGATTGGAAATGTCCGCTATGTAGGCATTCCATTGTGTGCCAAGTGAAAGATAAGCTGCTGCGGAGCAGAGTGACAGAACAATTAAGGTAACCTCTTGGTACTGAGACTTGTTCCCCTTTTCTGTTCCACCTTGCCAGTTGATGGCAACGGTAGGAAGTGTGTATGAGTAGTGTAGAACAGCATAAGCATGCATTAGCATTTATGTGGGTACTATATATACCAGATCACTGGCCAGTAGATAGTGTAGCCTTCGGGCAGTTTCAGACTTCCACTGGATAGGTCTCCGAGAGGGAGTTCCAGTTGACGTAGGGTCATGGTGTGTGATCCGGATAGGAGCACACTAGGAATGTCTCGGGTGTTATGGATGGTTGGGGCATCATGGTTGTGGTTCTTGGAATGCACCTTGGATGATACCCGTAGGCTTATATATGCCGAGGACGTTGCGTGGTATTGGTAGCTACCATCCCGCTTCGTCGTATTTTATATCCCGATATTCCTCAGTTTCTCTAAATCCCTTGCTATATCCCATTTTGAAAGTGGTTGTTTTATATTATTTATATGCATCGAAATGAACCATTGGGCGGAGTTTTCTCCAGAACCTCTGGGTTAGTGAGATATATTCGTATATCTCACCCCGTCTCGGGGCATTTATTTCAGGAGGTAGCAGTGGCAACGGTAGGAAGTGTGTATGAGTAGTGTAGAACAGCATAAGCATGCATTAGCATTTATGTGGGTACTATATATACCAGATCACTGGCCAGTAGATAGTGTAGCCTTCGGGCAGTTTCGGACTTCCACTTGATAGGTCTCCGAGAGGGAGTTCCAGTTGACGTAGGGTCATGGTGTGTGATCTGGATAGGAGCACACTAGGAATGTCTCGGGTGTTATGGATGGTTGGGGCATCATGGTTGTGGTTCTTGGAATGCACCTTGGATGATACCCGTAGGCTTATATATGCCGAGGACGTTGCGTGGTATTGGTAGCTACCATCCCGCTTCGTCGTATTTTATATCCCGATATTCCTCAGTTTCTCTAAATCCCTTGCTATATCCCATTTTGAAAGTGGTTGTTTTATATTATTTATATGCATCGAAATGAACCATTGGGCGGAGTTTTCTCCAGAACCTCTGGGTTAGTGAGATATATTCGTATATCTCACCCCGTCTCGGGGCATTTATTTCAGGAGGTAGCAGTGGCACAGGAGTGGCGGGCAAGAGGCCTGTAGGATGAGTCGTGGGAGCATTGTCATTATTTGTTCATGATATATATTTTGCCTAAGTCTAGTTAGTTGTTATGTCATTCGAAGTTATGTTTAAAGTTATAAATTCAAGTTCATATTTCAAGTTGTAAATTCAAGTTATGAATATGTACGTTGTTATATTTAAATGATATGTTGTAAATATGCATGAATATTGATGTAATATGATGGAAGGGCTTTAGGCCTATTGTAGGATGATGATTATATGCTTATGTTGAGAAATGACATGTAAATGGTTCCTTGTGATTGAAACAAGTTAAGGATTTTAAAGTGAGCATTATAGTATAAACTGTGTAATAAATATAATCTGAATTGGGTTGTAAGTGCCCCAAGGCATTGTTGGTCCTTGTGTGTACCACCCATTGGATTATTACTGGATTATTATTGGATTATTAGGTACCTTTGAGGCATTAGTGAGCTTGTGCAAATTTGGGGATTTAAGGAAAAACAAAGGAAACTCTGGCGAATTTTCTGTAGAATTGGCAGATTTTAGGTGAACTTCGGGAGAGGATATCTCCCTCCACAGATGTCCGTTAGGGACGTTCCATATGCCATTTTGAAGCTTGAGTTGTCCCCTAGATGGTGTTAAAATATGAGCCAGTTCTGGGTTGTATGCAGCCCTGTGGAATTTATTGAGTTCGGACTGTCCAGGGACCTCTGATGCAGGGGCTGTTATGTCCAGTTTTGAGAATTTGATTCCCGCTTCGTCTCTCAGTCAAATTGAGCGTGTGATACACCAAAATGAAGTTTTAGATGTCTAGTTTGTAGGATAAAAATTTGAGAGCAATTGGATGAGTGGATTGTGTGCAGTAATTCGAGAAGTGTTAGTGGTTTTGAGCTGTTCTGGGGTTGGTTGGCTTTTTTGCTTGTCCAACTTCAAACGGTGACAACCGGAGCAAATGAGCTCCGATTAAAGCGTGTGATAGCTTATTAGAAAGGGAATTAAGTAAGAAAAATATATATACTGAGGAGAAGGTCTGGTTGTGAGCGATGTGTTCGCAGAAAATTAATTAGTGAACCATGTTCAAAGAGGTAAAAGCGTAAAATTGAGTAATAGGCTAATTGGGTTTATGGGAACCCCTTAGTAACTTATTCTAAGTAAAATAATAAGTAAAAGTAGTTAAAATAAATATTCCGCAAGATTTTTCAGTTACGGTCACAGCTTTTAATTATTACGTTTTTTATTGTTTTAAATGCTCGCGTAATAATAGGAAAAAGTTTATTCGCATTTTTATAAATGAATTGCTGTGATTGTAACTGCACTTAATATCATAATTAATGTTAACAATACCGGTACGTAACGGGATGTTACAGGTACCAATGTGTTTAGAAGGTCTTTTCCAACAAATTTCAACACAAATTTTGTTGGATTTGGTGGAGAAATGAGTGATTAAAGTGAGAAGAAAATTTAAAGGAAATTTGGGGAGAAAGAGGGGGGAAGGCTTGGGTTTGGGCTGGAAGGGGAGGGGAGTGATGATGAATAGTGGGAGGATGATGTGGCTTAAGTGAAGTTTAAGTGGGGTGGGTCCCACGCCATCTCACGCGATTTAAAACTCATCCGAATTTTCCTCTGATTCCACTTAACGTCCGTAAATTCACAACTTATTTAGAAAATCTAATTTTTAATATTAACTATTCTCCTTTAATTATACTTGATCAGATGAATCCGGAGTTTTCCGGTCGTTCGGAGAAAACACTGTTTTAAGCTGTTGCGCGCGCCGATGGCACGCTTCCCCAAACTGACTTAATTCCATCAAATATTATCAGAAATCGTATTTCCTAGTTCTATAGACCTTTTATAAATCATATTTGAAACCTAGAGCTCAAAACTCAACTGACATGTTTTACGGTGTAATCGTACCGCAATATTTTGACCCGGTAAAAATACTATTCACTGATTTATTTGAAACTTTCCTAACCACTCAATTTTTTGTTCTGAATCCAATTCCATGGTTATTTTTATCATCTGAGACCTTCTACTCAACTTTTATCTTCCTAGGGTTGCGTGTTGGTTTATTACCGTCTTGCCATTTCTTTGTATTTTGGCCTAATCTTCAGGATTTTCATTAATCCTTCACTTAATTACTCATTTAATATTTTAAATACTTAATTTAGAATTGTGAGGTGTTATAAGATGTAGTGTCGAATCCACTTGTTATGGTTGGAGTAACTTAGCCCATTGGTGGTGGTCTCTGCCACATACTTCTCTTGGACCCGCCTGACTGTGGTATCAGAGCTGAGTTGTGCTTGAGCTAGGTTGGTAATTGGCTAGAGGCGGGTTGAGTACTTTGACCCTGAGGTACTCTGTTGAGGGAGAGTATACCAATGGATGGACCATAAACTCAATGTCTTAAGGTTTTGAATTGAGATGTGGTGTCGCATGACAGATTTTAAGGTACTAAACTTGTTTTTACAAACGCCCAAACAAAAAAAGCTAATGAACTTCACAATGTAAGTTTTAGCGTTTTGCTAATTTCACAGTGCCTTAAGTCTTGCTTTATAAGGTGTGCTTACCCTTTAAGATTATTTATTCATATAATTTTTTTTTTTTGAATTTTAGCGTTAATATGTTTCATAGCTATAAATTAATATACTACTATGAAAAAGAAACTTTCAGTATATGAATGTCATGTCATTATATCATCTTAAGAGTTTTTTTTAATTGTTATTTTTTTTTAAATGATTGTTCCCATAAATTCACTTTTCATACAAATGGCTCAAAATTTATACCTTTAAAATGCATACTTATTTTTAATGGTTTCTAACTTTAATGTGTATATTCATACATGCCTCATTTATTTTTTTAAATCACTGCTAATCTTTTATTTTTTCTTTTTCAAGTTTTTTTAAACTAATAATTTTCTTAAAAGGACAATATCTAATTTTATTATAATAGTATACTTAAATTACATTTTATTTTATTTTGTAACTTCGTGCGGTGCATGGCCGCTAACTTAATATTCTTTAAAAAGTCATCGCAAAACATGACATCAATTAGTTGAATGTCATCACATTTCCTAAATTAAAATTCTCCATGGAGTTGTAACTTACAAAAGTTTATTCATTTCATTTAAATTGCAATAGGTGTGGCTAGGAATTGGTGAAATACATAATTAGAAGGAACAAACTATTGCCATCCTGCCATATATGGCCCATTTGGCGAGAATATAGCAAAAATGACATCCAATAAGTATAATAGGAGTGAGAATCTATCTCATTATATCCGGAATGTTATTGACTCTTTTATCTGCGAATCTCATCTCAAGCATGAACTATCAAACTATCAGCTCCTATAGATCAGAATTATAAGATTCTACTCATCTATTACAGCCTGGCAGAATTTGACCCCATCTTGCTGATAGTTGATGTGAATTATGTGATCTAAAGTTAGAACATGTATATAGAACGTGTCAGAGTAGAAAGAAGATGAAAATTTTGTTTTTAAAAAAAAAAAATTGAATTAGTTCCTTTTTTCCTTTTTTAGAAAAAAATACTAAGGACCCGTTTGAATGAGCTCACAAAAAAGTGCTTTTTATACCTTACTTGTTTTAGAAGTACTTTTTATTAAAGCTAAAGCTGTTTAATTTTTAAAAAATGTATTTGATTTTTGAAAAAAGTATTTGACTTTTAATTTCTGCTTTTTTTCATAAGCTAAAATTTTTAGCTTAAAAAAGAGAGTAGACTTTTGATTTTTTTTATGACTTTTACTTTTTTTTAAAAGCAGATATTTAAATAAATTTTTTTCTGGATAAAAAATAGCTTTAAATTTTTTTTTATCCAAACGAGCTCTAAGTAAAAATGACACAAGTTTTTTAAATACTAAGTAAGAATGACTCAAATTTTTTTATATAGACCCAGCATTAGGGTCCAGCAATCTTTTACATTAGAATTATTAAACTCGGACCGTTCTTGAACTTGGTCTATAGGTATTAGATTAATAGGTCACCAAGTGGAAAAAGGCGCAAAGGGGTCATTAGTTGGACAGCTTAAATTAAATACATATACTAATATATAATAAATATAAAATTATAAATATGTTATCCGATAAGTATAGTTTTTCCAGTGGTAATTAGTGTTATATTTTCGTAACATTGCTTTACATATATCCCTTGTAAAAAATAAATAAATCATATTTTTAACAAAAAGAAGAGAACAACTTAAAATAAAATACACCAAAACATATATGGCTGCCCCTGAACATTTATACGTATTTCTGCTTATTTTCTTTGACAGAAGATGTAACCTTTTGACACTTTCCATTCCTTGAGGGAACTAATGGGTCTGCATCGGAATTTTTCTTTTGGGTTTATGACTTTATGGCTCTTCCTTTAACTTTTTTTTGTTTATATATATATATATATATATATATATATATATATATATATATATATATATATATATATATATATCTAGTATTCCCCCAAGAACTTTGGCATAGAAAAGAATTGATTGAAACTTGTTTGGTGTATTAAAGCAGGCATAATCCATATTATAACAACAATGGCATCCCAGAATAAACTTGTTCAACTTGTGAGGATGGGACCTCACCAAGAAAGTAGACCACTAGCTTGGAAGATATTAGGAAAGAAGAAACAAGTATTCATGGAGATTGGTTTATATATGGTGGAAAATAAACCTGGATGATAAGGATTCCAAGTTTTTGCAACATATTTTCTTTTGGATTATTTGTGGGAATACCACGTCACTTCTTTTTATGCTTTGACAATGCAATGCTTAAAGGGTTTTGTTAAGGACACACGTGTTAAAAATAAAAATAGGATTTATACTCATCTTAATTACTTGAGCAAGAAAATGGTAAATGTTTTTTTTTTTTTTCTTCTTTGAATTTTCAAGATATCAAACAATACTCGTCAATTTATTTTTTATACGGACTAAGTTACAAACGCTCTTGCAAACCACCTTTTCAATGTAATTTTTAAGGACAAAGTTGCAAGTCTTCGCTGCTCACAAATTTTTCCCTCTCATTTTTATAACTTAAATATTTCTTAATATAAGTATTTATAATTCACAATAAGTTGTTTAATAAGCAACCGTTCTTATAAATTCCTTATTAATGAAAGATTTTTTTAGTATATTATTAAAAGAAAATCCCATAATGATTTGGTGAGACTTTCGACTTAAATTCAACGATTTAAACTGACTTGTCAAATG